GGGCCAGGGGGGGGGGAGGGGACACCTCGCCCAGGTGGCAGAAGGGGCACGGGTGTGCCAAGAGGCCGTGCGTCGGCCCCGCCAGGGGCTCCTTGCATGAAAGGGGGGCGAGGGGGGGACACCCCCTTCCCTTCCACCACTAATGACTCCCAGAAAAAGAGCAAACCAGCCGGGAATCCCCCTTCATGCAAACCAGGAGAGAGGGACCACGTCATCCCCCCCGCCCCGGGGAGGGGCGAGGGAAGGGTCAAGCTCTGGGGGTGCAGAGGAGCAGCCCCCTCCCCGTCGCCGCCGATACCCAGCACCTACTGGTTGTCCTCTCTGGCAGCGTGCAAGGAAAGAGAGATGGGGCACGGCCCCACATGTTAGACACGGCGAGCCCCATGGCACCAGGCGAGGGGGGAGAAGAGCAACAGGCCCCCACTTGGCTCAACTCAGGGGGATGGATTCGGGGGCCCCGTGCTCCCCATAGGGCTCGGAGCCAGGATCCGGCCAGGCAGCAACAGACAGAGCAGGCGGCAGGACAGCCGGACGCCGGCGAGGGGACAGGCAGGGGAGGACGAGCCCCTCCATCTCCCAAATCCTCCCCCCGCCGGGCGAGGACGGACCGGCACAAACAGCCACGGGAGACAACACTCAGCTGCGAGACAGGACACGGCCAGACGGGCCACGGAGCCCCACGCACCGGGGCTGACCCCCATTTTTGGCTTCAAGGGTGGGCTTGGCCCAAGCATGAGCCGGCGCGGGTCCCCCCACTCCATCCCGGCCGGGGGCACGGGAGCCTTACAGCGTTTGGTAGGTGCTGTCCTTCGACTTGATGAACTTGATGATGAAGAAGACCACGGCTTGGACGCTCAGCACCAGCACGATACCGCCGATGAAGCTGGCCGTGTCAAAGCCGGGCGGGTGAAATTCGGGGCTGCCCGTCAACGGGGTGCTGGTGGTGGTGGTCCCTAACGGCAGGGGAAAACGGGGTGCGGGGGTTATGGGTGCTGTTGGCAATCCTGGGGTACTGCTGAGCCCGCCAAGGAGAGGGGATTTGGGGTCTGCACAGACCCCAGCATCTGCATGGGGCTGGGATGTCCCCATTGACATGAGGACGCAGGGATGGGCTCGGCCTCTTCCCATGCCAGAGCAGCCGGCACCGTGCGGGAGAGGAGCCAGCGGTGAAAGGATCCCAGTGGGATCAATAATTCAGAGGGCTCCAGGCTCTGGTTACCCGCCGTAATTAGCTCAACGCTCTCCAGTTCCCGCTTTCTGGAAGAGGCTCCTTCTTCGCTTCCAGCCCCTGTTCCAACCCGGACAGAGATGGCACTTCCCGGCAAGGATGGCAGCAGGACTGGTTCTTGGGCGG